CCAAGATTGACTAATGGCCAATCTCTTTTTATTACTCTCAACCGTCAAATTCAGATGACAGAGGATTATCTATCGGAATGGGTTGAGTGTGGTATGTGAAGGCCAGAGATGATTCCTGCTAGCGAAGAAACAAAACAACAAATAAAAAACCAACACTATACTGTGTATTGGACTCCAAGACCAAGCTGATGTAAAGATGGTCATTTAAAAAATAATCGTTCAGGCAAATTAGAAAACAAATTTCTAAATAGAAGGACAAAATAACATGCCCTGCGTGCTCAATCAAGTTTTCTTCGCAACATACTAATTTTAATTATTTTCAAAAAGAAATCCTATTTATTTAATTGTTTTCTTAGAAAGACGATTCGGGACAAAACTTAAAAAATAAATTTGAAGAATAGGTTACAGGCTAAATTTTGACTATTATTAGCAGAGGAGCCCATCTCCACCAAGGTGGATGGTGCAAGAACCCAGTGTTGCCGCGCGCTCTATGACAAATCCTCGTACCTCAAATCTCGTACACTTGCTCATTGAAAATTTCTGCTATTGTAGACTCAATGTTATTTTTTATTAAAAGTAAAATTAGATCAGAGCTTTTCTTATTATCTCCATTTGGATATATTTAAGTCTTTTTTATGAGGTTTTTGTTTAAGTTAATGGGCCCAGAAGTAAAATGAGTTTTATTTAAGCCGCGAAATTAAATACATAAAAAAGTGCATAAATTTTTAGAAACTATTGGAAAACTTTCTATAAAATTTAAAATAGTGAAATAAACTTTTTAAATGATATAATATCCCTATCATTATTAAAAATAAATGGAACATACATTATTACGACTTCAATTATAATAACATACAATTGAAATCAATAAATATAAAATTTTTATTTTTATTTTGCTTACTAAGAACTATCTAAGTGAATTCTGTAAAATTGTAGTTTTATGTTTAAATATACTTTAAATATAATCTGTAATGTTATAGTTTAAATATACTTTCTTATATTTTATTTTATACTCGTTAAAAATCGAAAATATTTTTCTAAAATGACGGTAAAAAGTTTTTTTTTCTAGTCAATTAAAAAAAACATTTCATATTAATTAAAATAATAATACGGAAAAAATAATTGTAAAACAAATTTAAACTTCATTCATAAAAATTATGTACGAGATACAAGGCTGGTCGATCTCGTGCCACGTATATTACATCATAAACTCGTACAAATACGTGGATCCTCATACAAACGGCAATACTGCAAGAACCTACCTGCCCCCCTCCTCCTAAGATTTGTTATTATACACAAAATTTATACACAAATTTGAAATTATTAATTTAGAGGAGGTTGTTTATGAGGGAAATTTATCTTCTGGATGAATTGCTTTTATTTTCTAATTAAATTAACATAATTTTAAAAAAATCTGTACCACAACAACTTATAAAGGGTTTTGAGCTCAGTGCTTTGTTAGTAACTTCTATTTTAAATCCAATTATTGTGTAGGAAGCTGATAAAGGCAGAATCACGCTCACGGTCAGGATATATGTTTTATATCTAAGGCTCGGTTAATATATTTAAATAATATGGACTTTCAATTCAAGTTGAGTTATATAAGGCGATGAATAGATTTCACAACACTATAATGTGAATATAACGGTTTCATAACTCAGACTATTTATAGATAAAATTAATCTTCTTACAGTCAATTACAGTCTATAATATGATGTGTACAGGATACTGAGAAAATTTAGTATTATAATTCTTATTTCATTAATTAATTACAAATTTGTGTTATAAATCAGTGCTTTAGTGTTTTTTATCATATATCCAGTGATAGTTATAGCCAATGAGAGTTAAAAAGAGAGAATGGGTTCCACTTGCCTCTGACGAAAAGTGAGTAGCTTCGATAGAAATTAGACAAGTAGCCATTTTGGAATAAATACATCACTATAATGTGTATTTATTTAGTAGCCTTCATAAATTTATGGAAGCGAAACGTAGCCGCTTACATTGAGGAATTCGCAACGTTTTAAGTGATTTGAAAATAAAGTATTCCGAAGAATATTCGGACGTAAATATCTTTGCATAGAATATTCAGCCAGATCCCATTTTCATGGGGGAGGGGGTGGCCGAATGGGCTAAATCGTGTGCACAGCACCGCGAGTTGCCCGGCAACCAGATATATGAAGTTTTGAGACACAAGAAAAGTACGAGTTCGCGTCCCGGTGCCAAAGGAGATTTTAAATTCCCGCCCTCACTCTCCGGCTCGGGAAATCCCGTATAGCCTAAACGGCGAGGTAGGGAAGATCCCATTTTCATAACTATACTCGTGCAAACTTTCCTTTATCGAACGTTGGAAAATAAACTTCTTCCCTTACCACTTTTGCTTTCGCGTCTCCTAAAATTATTTTCATGCAGTTCCGCGGTAGTTTATCATAAGCCCATAAATTTATCATAAAATTCGCATGTGATTTGATCACAGTGATGATACCAATCCGGTCGGACAATGCATGTTTATTTTAAACCAACGTTTCTGAAATATAGCTACCAATATCCTATCATCAAATAATTGTAGCTCCCTCAAAACGTATAAACAATCTATTTCTAATTAGAAACCCGATACCTAAACGATGATTTTCACTTCCTCCGTACTAAATAGTATCCCTTCTGTAATCGAGTCCTCTCCTGACCAGCGAATTTATGGTAGTGCCGCCATATCCAAATTGTATTCATTAACCTCGTTCGTGACAGTTATAACCCATCTGTTATAACCTGAGTTCAGACTCCTAACGTTATACGTCCCTATATTTAAATCTCTAATTTTCAACTTGTGCCATGAATCTACTAAAACAGTCTTCTGACCCTTAACATTTTATCTTAGGGGGATCCATGACTAATAATGGTGTATGGTGGACTAAAGATGTGTGAGTAGAGCGTTCAATCCTACGTCATACCCTCCAGCAAGTCTGGAGGACTCCTCTCATTGTTGACCAGCGAGTCCTTCGGTCTTAGCCGGGAGGAACTTCTGTACTTACTGTAATTTTTCTTTTCTTAAAATAAAACTTAATCCCGTATCCGTAATTGATAGTTAAGATTTTAATTTCTTGTTTGCTGTACATGTGATCTTAAAGAAGCTTAAAATCATGACTAAAATTCTTTAGCCCTAAATAAATATGTTTGTTAATTAAAAAAACGTATAGTACTGATAATTGCATTATACAGCAAATTTCTATCTAATATACTATTTTACTCTTTGAAAAATATTACAATCTGTCTTAAGGACATTTATAATAGTGTTCACAGATCACATTCAAACTCTATATACAATAAATAAAATAAATTATACAGAAAAATAATATATATACAATAAATAAGAATAATAACCTAAAAATAAATAAATAAAAAGAACACATACATACCTATTTACAATATTTACAATCTGGAGAGAGAACTCCAAACCAGACTTCTTCCTCCAACTGTGGAGGGAAAAGCGTGACTTCAGGAGATTCCTGCACTTCTCTGTCAACCGAGGCACTGGGGCTAAACCCAGTGGAGATTGAGCAAGAGTGGTTTAGATCTATATAATAGCTCTGTTGAATTAACAGGGTAACAGACATTTGTTTTCAAATCGAAGCTTGCTGGAGTAAAACTTACTGCTAGTTCATTTGTTGACTAGGCAATTCTTGAAAGAAATGTAGGAATACTTTTCCTCAGTTCTACGATCTGTACTGTTGAAAGTAGATATACATTAAAATAATTATATTTTGTCTTATATCGGAGTAAAAAAAAAAAAAAGGATCGCAAAAAATATGTTTGATTACAGTTTTTTAGAGACATTAAGTGAACATGAATCTTTAGTTTGTATAGTTAAGACTCAGCTTGGTTTTTATTTATTTTTTTCGATATTAAGGTATAATGAAAATATGATGAGTCTGATATCTTTAAAACAGAGGTAATTTAGATATAACTTAGTTTAAGCTATTTATTTTTCATATAGTTGCCGAGTCAAATTGACCGCAACGCTTAAAGAAAATAATCGATTTTAACTATATTTCATTTTCTATTAAACCATCGCTAATTGGACGATATTTAATAGAAGGGAAGCAATCGACATAGCCAGTTTTGAGTAAACTTGAGTCAAAGATAAATGTCTTTGAGTCTTAGAAAAGCTTTCAAATAAGTATATTATCTTCTTTTTTATTCAACTCAAAATAATCTTATATCAATAAATTTTTTCATTTCTTTCTAAACGATTTTTTATTGAAGGTTTCTAAACCAAGAGATATTTCTTTTCTATCGAATATAGTAAGCAATGATCTCATTCAAAACCACGTTGTGACTCATTTTTGCATATTTTGTCGATTGATTCTCTTCTGTTTAACTTCAACCAATCGATGCAAACATTTTTCAAGCTTTTCACGTATTAATATAACGTTAAACGCTCTAAACTTCCAATGAATTACAAACGACTCATATACATGACTAAAATAAGACCTATTTGGACTTATGGAGTTGAGCTATGGGGTTCCACTAAACCATCAAATTCCTCTCGTATCCAATCTTTACAGCCCAAAATCCTTCGTAAAATCCTCAATGCTCCTTACTTTGTCACAAATAAAATAATCCATAAAGACCTCAATGTTCCATATGTTTCCGATTTGGCCAAATCCAGATACCTATCCTTCCATTATAAACTTCATAACCATACGAATCCTCTTGTTTCTAACCTTGTTTCCTCTTCGATTCCTGAACACCCCCCGAGGCGTCTGAAAAGAAGATGGCCTCGTGATTTCTCATGTAAATAAATTATTAGAGTGCTACCAATGGGTAGTTTCTCAGCAAGCGTGTGAAGCAAGTGAGTTCATGTGATAATATTCCTCTGTACACATTTACTTGATGTATTCATACTTATACAGTTGTAAATATCATAATAAAAGTTTAAAAAAAAAATATATATATATATATATAACGTTTACATTTATTTTTAATATATTATAATTTGTTTTCAGGAATGAGCCCAATGGACTTAAGTGACAACAAATAATCATTCTTAAGATGCTCTTTGGCAGCGCATTACCTCAGGTACGATATTTTCCTTGTTTTATTTCACTATATTCGCTATCCCCCGACCATAAATTTAACATTATATTTATTTAAGACTCAAAAGCAATCTCATCAAACAATCCTACTACTAAGAACACTTACAGCTAGTAAATGACTTACTAATTTGTATTTTATATACTATGTTAATTTGTAATTACTTTGTATTCTCAATAACACACAGTTGGTTCATTTAGTATATACAAAGGCGATACTTTAAACGTTTTCAAATCCAATTGAAATGTTAAACAGTTTCCATTAATTAAGCATTTCAGTTGACCTAATGACTAACTCTAAATTCAACATATTTCTAGTTGGAAAATTTATAATATCTGTACAGACAGAGAGGAAATTGATCCCAGAGTTGGTGATTGCAGTGTTGAAATACAGAACTGTGAATAAAGGTATAAATTTTCCTACTAAAAATATAACTAAAATTAATAATCAAAAATATTGGAATTGGAGTCATTCTGTCAACTGAAAGGCTCAATTAATCGTTTAGGTTGGGGCCTAAAATAAAAGTAATGTCCTGTTGAAAATATAAATGGAGATCACGGGCGGATCTACGGGGGGGGGGGCTTTCGGGCTGAAGCCCCCCCCAAAATGGTAAAATATAACCACGTTTTATCGAAAAAAATATAAAAAAAGTATCTCTTAAAGTATTATTTTTCGTGTGATTAATATTGAAAGGGCTTTAGAAATCACTTAAACACCATTTCATACAGGTTGTTAGTTTCTTTCTTTTTTTCTAAAGCAATTATCGTTATTTTTATGAAAAAAAAGCTTTCGGGCTGAAGCCCCCCCCCCAAAATTAAATCCTGGATCCGCTAGTGATGGAGATCTATCAATGTAAAGAACCTGACATGGTGAGATATACCAGGGCTAAGTTAATATGTGGATTTTTCCCACCCACTAGCAGTATGGACCATGTATTTCTTACCGGTAGTTGAAACTTTTATAGAACATTTTTAAAAATTTTAACAGTTTGTGTGAAACGTTTTAGTAAAAATTTACTTAGAATAAAAGTTCTAAGGAATTTTTTGGAATAAAGTTAAAAGTCTGTGGTAAAAGTTTAACTTATATGTATTCAAGTATTTAAAAGAAGTTCTGTTAAATGAAAAATAACCTGTGATTGGGCTCAGATTAGACCTATAATTTGTCTTAAATGAATTACACATGATTTTAATGTGTTGTTTGTTTGAGTAGCTATGGATAAAAGTATTTTTTTAAATCTACTTTTTATTGTAATCAACTGAAGTTTTAATTTCAAGTTTTTTTAGAAATTAAGTTCTGTAAAATCTTTACTTGAAAAGTTACAAGGGAAAAAGTTCTAGTTCCAAAAAAAAAAACTGAAAAATTTCAGCAATAAAGAATCCATTAACACCACTTAAAATTAATAATTTTTTAAAAATGATTTTTTTTATCCCCGTTTCTTACGGATATCTACGGCCTTAGACATTCGGCGCCCCCGGTCAATGACGTCACCTCCCCCCTAAAAAAAATAAATTCACTTCTTAAGCTGTTTTATATTTTGTAATATTTGAATTTTATTTCATTCAACATTTCATAATACAGTTGCTTTATTGATAGACTAAAATTAATTATTTTAATAAGTTTTTTATTTTTTTTATTTCTCATAAGTGGCTAGTTTATGTGAAACGTTTTAGTAAAAATGTTCTTGAAATAAAAGTTCTAAAGAACTTTTTTGTAATAAAATCAAAGTTCTATGGTAAAAGTTTAAGTTATGTGTATTCAAGTATTTAAAATAAGTTCTGTTGAATTAAAAATAACTTGTGGTTGGGCTTGTATTAGAGCTATAATTTGTCTTAAATGAACTAAACATGATTTTAATGTGTTGTTTGAGTGGTTATGGATAAAAGTATTTTTTTAGATCTACTTTTTATTGAAATCAACTGAAGTTTTAATTGAAAGTTTTAAAAAAAATTAAAGTTCTGTAAAATCTTTACTTGAAAAGTAACAATGGAAAAAGTTCTAGTTCCCAAAAAAAAAACTCGGTTGCGCCACCCTTCGGCACCGCAGATATCCATTGCTTGCGGGAGTATTGATATCCTGCTGGGGTTCACCTAATTTCACCATGGTAGCTACATAACCCTTAACCTGGGGTATACTCCATAATTCCATGATTTAATGACTCGGATCATGGACAGTGACAAACCGGACCAGATTCACGAATTGTAGCTCTTCAAGGTCAGAAGGCGCACGAGGGCCTATATTTCTCTTCCTGAAACTGCCGGTACATGTAAAAATCCTTTTGTTGGTTACCGCTATCGGGAGTCTACTATTCGTATGCTCGGTCGGTTTGAGTCCCCTTGTGTTGGTTTATCTCGGGCCTCATTTACATTAGGGAGTTCTCAGGTAGCGTGCCTATCTCTGGTTGGCAGATGTAATATTTTCACTTTCTCGAATTTGACTTCGCCAGTTCTGTTCCGGCCTGGGTTGTTAATAATTTATTTTATAATAAATTCCACCCAAGGAATGAACCTTTCTACCCTAGTTAAAATAGGTTTGGTTTTAAATTACCTCTAGAACTAGCCACCTTATGCCAAGGTAGAGAGCGAGTAACCGAAAAACCTCAATGCGTTCCTTAACTAATAGCATTTTCCTGTCAATATGATTACTCATAGAAAATTATTGTAAACAAATAAATTATTAAATAAAAAATATTAACAAATTTTCCTTGTACAATAATGTTTCGAAATTGTATTTCCATGATCGCATCAAAATTCAAAAATGCATTACGTTCTTCCTACAAGTTTTCAAATTGAATATATGAACTATACTCGGAAACTTAAGCAGTTTTAAGAAGCCATTACAGCAAACATGCCTTATCTATACAAAATAACGTAACATATCTATAGAATTACTGAAAATAATTTAGGAATTGTTAAGGATGAAACTGTTGTACTTTTTATTTCTAATTTTGAAATATCAGTTGTTAAAATAATCTGAAATATTCAATCTATTTAGTTAACTTCAGATAAGTAAGATTAAGTTTCGACTTATAAATGTTGTGAGAAGGAGTTGATCGGGGAGTGCGGTCAAATAAATACTAAATTAAACAAATAGTATTATTTAATTGTTGCCATCTTTGCAGGTCTTCATTAGGGCTACAAATGATTCAAAACATGGTGAAAATAAAATGAATGAATGTAAGTAGATATAAAATAAGAAGAAGTTGTCTGATACAGAAATAAAAAGATGATATCAGAGATATAGTGGGTGACAATGTAGTTAAAATATCAAGTATTATATGTAGAAGATACAAACAAAAATGGAAAATAAGTATGAATAAAAATAGAAATAAAGGAGAATATAGCATATATAAATACATATAGAATATAAATGTTGTGGTTATCTCGATAAACATTGTATTCTAACTGAATGAACCAATTTTTTTTTTTTTAATTTTATGACCCATAACTGATAATGACACTAGGCATCGCGAATAAATAAGCGAGTAAGTCATACCCTGTGAGAGAACAGGTTGTTATTAGGAAGGGTTGACACGAGCTGTTTATGACCGTGGGAAGTCCGCCTGTTCGCTGGTTGACTACACGAGCTGTGAGGCACGACCTCCGACCGTCGTGATGAGCAGTCACCCCGATCTAGCGGGTCCGAAGGGCATTGCATCCAGGTCAGTGTCACAGCTCTATCCTGTCCGGCATACGGATCCGCGAGCTGGCCGAACCATGCCAACATAATTCGTTTTGTCAGGCAAATCTGCAAGGTTCTTTTTGCGAATTCTGGTCTGACCTAAGTATTTTTACCTTAATTTCGACATTCCTTATGTCAACTTTAAACTAATGAGAATTTTAAAATTAGTTTAAAGATGACATAAGGCTAATAGCTATATTAATTCACATTTTAAAGCAATGGCTAGAAACATACGTAAATGACAAATGAAATCGGTCTCGTTTTTCTATACAAAATCTTATAACTTATTGATTTGCACATGTCTAACTCTTACCTGCCAAGAACAATGACCTTATCCTCGTTATCATTATCCTTTCGATGGCTCAACAACCCAATAAGTATGATTGATCCAAATCGGTCCAATTTTCTAGATTTTACTTTAAATGCTTAAGCCCACTGTTTCGAAAAAAAAAGGACAAAATAAATCGCTGTTGTTTGTAGTTCTCATATACTACTACTGAATTGATATAAAGGAACTTGAGAAGAATAAAGGTATAGTGCGTCTAAGATGAGTTTGCCTATAGGGGCAGGGATATCGCACAGCATTTCCCTTCTCAAGTTCGACCTCCCCGAAACCCCTCTCAAACTCCAACTCCCCTCCTCGACATTGCAATTACCTCATCCCGAGAATACGTTGTTCGATGTTCATCAAACTTCGCACAAATTTGTATCGAAGGTAATCATAATAAAAGGCTTAGCGAACCCAAAGGTTCGATGCCGACACCACCAATGGCTTATTACACACCTCTCTCCACCGTTCCCCGTCCAAACCGAAGCCTTTCAGATCGGCCTTAATGCGATCTTCCCACCTACGCTTCGGTCTAGGCCTCGGACATTTACCATTCGGTACAGCAAATATTAACCTTTTAGGAATTCTCTCCTACTAAGCCCAACAATTTTACAGGCCCATTTGATTCGCCGAGATGAAATCACCTCAATTATATTACCGGGATACAGTTCACGCAATTCGGCGTTGTGTAACCGTCTGAATTCTCCGGTTAATTCATCCTTATTCGGTCCGAATATTCTATGCAATACTTTATTTTCAAAAACTTTAAGACGTTGCTCATCCCTTAATGTAAGCGGCCACTTTTCGCAACCATAAAGAACTGTAGGTAAGACAATGGTTTTATAGTTTCTAATATTTTTATTGAAGGTAGAAATTTTAATTAAAAATGAAATTAAACAGTGATTAGGATGATTAAAAAATAAAAAAAAAAAAAAATGTATATTCACTAGGTCTACTGTTCACAAAATTCGATTTTATT